GCAAAATCAGCACATAGAAACACACAACAAAATACAAATAAATAAATCAAGTCCAAGACATTGGACAATCAACAATGGAAGAAACTAGAAAGACAAATAGTCGAGAGGTTCCACTTACTCACACCCTAAATCAAGCGGAGGTGGGAGGTCGAATTGGGTATTATTACTTCACAATAAAAGCAACCACTTGCTTCCATCAATAACAAGTGTTTCTGATATTTTTGGGGTAGTTTTAAACTTATTGTATGGTATACAACAAATTACCCAAAACGAACCCGGTACAACTTCAGCCTTCAAGCGCAAAACTTCAGTGTTTGCATCCAAGGTTATGCACAATTGCAGATAAACCTAATTTTGATTAAAACTTATCCCTCAAATTGATTATCATTATCGGTACATTTAAAAATATAATGATCTCTACCAACAACCAAAAGACCTTAAACCACAAAAATGACAATGAACTCCCCTAGTCCCCCTTCGGATTGGAGTCTGAAGAATTCTAGAAGCGAAAGGAAAGTAAGTCGTCTCGTCCATCACTCTGTTTCGAGTCGAATTGAAATTAGATTTGAAAATTGGAACAGTGTCGTGCAGTTTGTGTTTGTAATCGTGCAATCCAGGCCCTTTTTTTTAATTGGAGTTTTGTATTTGGAGGCTTGGAATTTGTATCCATTTTGAGGCCCTAGGCATTTGCCTAGGTGGCTTGGCCTCAGGGCCGGCCCTGCCGAGAAATCACAATGAAGGGGACATCAAAAGTTCCACAAGAATATGACTAGATGTTAGTGTAGACCATGTTGCACCATAATATTAATACGTACGGCATGAAATTAAATCTACATTTTCTACTTTAGACATCGAATCATTTTCAACCCATACTTCTTTTGCTCGAACTTGAAGCAACATTCAGAGTTTTTCATATTGCTGATTGCTCTCAGCTCCACCTCAAGGCTTGAGTACGGACCAGCTGCCGGGTTAGTAGATTGCTTCATTTACCCATTGGAGTTCAACTTCACCATACTTTGTTTATTATTATTATTATTATTATTATTATTATTTTAAAATTTTTTCCAGTAAAGTAGTAAGGGAATAGTGCTTAATTATGCTCGTCTTTTGGTCACCAAGGTCAAGTAGAAGTCCAAGGATTTTTTAATGCTGCCGGGTTAGTAGATTGCTTCATTTACCCATTGGAGTTCAACTTCACCATACTTTGTTTATTATTATTATTATTATTATTATTATTATTTTAAAATTTTTTCCAGTAAAGTAGTAAGGGAATAGTGCTTAATTATGCTCGTCTTTTGGTCACCAAGGTCAAGTAGAAGTCCAAGGATTTTTTAATTTATTATTATTTATTAATATTATTATTTTTCAAGTGGAAACTATCACTAACTGGAATTCGAACACTTTTGCTAAATCAAAGTACAGTATCTAAATACCTAAACTTGGTCACGATATTAAATTTATATTTTAAGAGGGAAGGTCCAACGTACTACTCGGGCCTTCAAAATAATTTAGGAAGTCTTCAAAGTTTTAGAAGATAAAAATGAGATTAAAAATAATTTTATGTACGAGCCAACAAAATAATTTTGTCGTACTAGTAATTTTTGTTTGTATGTTTTCATTTTTTTTTTTAACATTTTCGTTCAAACTTTTTTTTTTTTTTTTTTTAGAATATTTCGATTCAAAGTTATAGTAGTTCTAGATTGAAGATCTTAATAATGGACGATTGAGTACTTAATTGGTCGAATAAATTAGGCATTCAACAGTAAATTTCCCTAATAAACTTACAGCCCCAAACGTCAATTCGTAGAACTGTCAGTGACAGTGCAACTTCATATTATTATAGAAAATATAAAAATTAAAGTAAAATTCGTTGTAATATTAATATTGTCAATTCAGTGAGAAAAGAAAAAGTAACAAAACTATAAGTTGAAATCTTGTCTAGTTTTCAGTGTAATATAAAGTAAAAATATGCTGCGTACATGGTTTGGTCCGACTTGTATCATTTTTCATGTGATAATAAAGCGAAAAGATCTGAATCCTCCAAAATATATGATTAAATTAATTGTTGATTTAAATTTATTTATTTTTATTAAAATTTATTCTACACCAGACAAGGAATTAATTTACCAAAGTGTGATGACATTGCATGCATGTGTTTTTCTGCACCATCTTTATTGAATTCAACGAGTCACTTTTTCCACCCTTTTCTACCGATACATACATGGGTTCATAATGAATGTATTCCTTGTCCCAACGTAGGCCCACAAAACTGAGTCCATTTCCCACTTGGCATGTGCAATTTTCACTTTAGGTTCATATAATCATCCAAGGAATTCTTGGAGAAATCTCTATCAAATCTTGAAAGAATCAGAAATAGAATCCCTTGATTGAAGGAATTAAACTATTTAGTATTTTAACTGAATGAATTAAGATTAAAAATTTCATCGAGCTATAGTAAGATGGGAGCTATCGATTTTGGTGAATATATAATCATATTAAACACTACTAGATGATAAGATATTTATGAAAAATACCGTTGAAAATAAAATAACTTATAAATAAATAAACAATTTGTTGGTAATTACGGCGCATTTCTTTGTCTACCAGATATTTGAATTTCATTTGAATCCACGACAACACGAAATTGAATCCAAATGAAAGAAATAATAAAACATTCATTCATTCTCAAATTAAATGGACGAAGCAAACGATCTACACAACACAATATTTTTTAAATTCGACGTCTTCATTGTGTTATGATTTTTCGACATGTAAGCTGTAATGTCCACGTCCAAACTCATGAATGTTCAAGCGAAAGCAACATGAATTACGTTAAGGTGCATTCTAGAATTGAGATGAATACGCCATCGAAGCTCCAAAAAGCAAGGTTAAATGCACGTAGAAATATAGCTATTTAGCACTATAATTTGATGAAAATAATTATTAATAGGAATTTGAACTAGTGCTAGAATAATTAATTTGAGCTTGTGCATTTGCCACTCATTAATGAGTGGTTAGCAATATATAAAACAAAATTAGTAGGTGTAATCACATGGAGTCCCAAATGGCCTACATTTAGGACTACCCTCCAAACAAGGCTATCCCCACCCCCCGCCGACTGTTGTCCCCTTTGTTGTAACATCGCCGCCCATCACTCAGATTACTATAGATTTGGAATCCGTAGTACCCCGGCCAATTAAATTTGGACTATTCTATGGAGTTTACACGGGTAAGCATTTGACTTTAGGTAATTGATTATCCCTAGTTAAATACATGTGATTTTTAGCGTGTATTTAATGATTTATAAGAGGTAATATGTAGGGAACGAAGAGTCTATGACCATCGCAAGAGATTGGGTTCGTTATCCATTATTTAGGCTATGAGCTTGGAGTATCGAGTATTCACCCAGTTGAATTATTGGGGAATCCATTAATCTAATTATGTCATCACACATTGTTCTAAGGTGACGAGTATGAGTTACTCACTAGACAGTTTTTCTAGTAGTCACTTCCATTTGACAATGAGATGATTCTTCAAAGGTATGTTTTATGGTGATTCCACGTGTCATTAATGTGATCTCGTGTAGGGATTATGTGTAATATAATTAACAAGGAGAACATGCATGATGCTTACGTAATAGTTTGAATGAAGGAACGTTGATTGAAACAAAGATCTTAATCTCGACCGTATTCATCAAAATCTAATTCTTACAATAGAATTGGAAAGCATAGATAGAAATGAGTCAAATTTGGACATTTCTTGATATTTAGTAATCACATTACAATGAAATTGAGCTTGAGTGATTGAATTCACACGGTCAAACCGATTTTAACCATTAATGTTCACCATCCGTCTACATGATATCGATCTAATTGACATATAATTCGATGCTGAACACTCGTAATGATAAATAGCACTCACTTATCATCCTTAAAATGTCACCACAACCCTTCCCGTCCTCCGCCCGGACCGCCCAAAAAGCCACAATGAAAAGGCTGTGTGTGGGTGGAGCCCATGTGTGAAAAAAGAACACTTGTTCCAAACGGAGAAGGGAGGAGGAGGATGAAAGCACATGGGAGGTGGCAGGTTCAAGAAATCCATGTGATCACATGTGCTGCCTTTGTATTTTGACAGAGGGACCCTTATTACACTGCGACCCTATCCTGTTTTCCCTCCAACCGATCGACAAATCTCCGTTCCGTTTCTCACTCTCATTTCCCTACACGTGTCACCAACGCTCCTTGCTATGGCTAAAATGATTTGTGTACAGTAAATTTCCTGCAAAAAACACACAAAGGTGTGGATCCCACTTAATAAATAATGTCAAAAAATTAACCCACGCACCTAAATGTGAGATGTCGGTAGGGGTACGGGTTCTGTCAACCTCTACCTGTACACCAATCATTTCCCTTACTATGGCCAAAGAATTTATTTATTTAATTATTTAAAAAAAAAAACCTATTTTCATCATAATAAGTTTTTGATCTGATCAAGAAAAAATCACATGACCTTGGTGTCGATATATATATGCCTTTTAACGTTGGCAAATTTTCATGACTATCTTGTACCTCCATCATATTCACTAATTTTGCATTCTTATGATTTTATAGAAATTTACTAGAATTCCCGTATGAAATTTTCAGGGTTAACTCTATTTACGGACTCTATACTTCATCCAAATATCGCCGTTAAATGCTAACGATTATTCAACATGATCATCAAAAGAAATGTATGATTTGAATTATTTTAAACAACAATACAAACAAAAATGTATGATTTGAATTATTTTAAAAAATAATGCTATTTACGTCGTTCACTATCGTAATTTTATTTCCTTGTGCATCAAGTCACAAGTATATAAAACGAGATTTTCAATTATAAGTGCTAATTAAGTGATAAATTAAGCGCGTCTATGTGATCCCACATAAATCCGTAATCAGGGCGTTGGGAAACCAAATCCCCGAATTAGCTGGGCCCAGCTGTGTTGGCATCGACATTTATAAGACTCCAATTTCTTTAATTTAACACCACGCTAACACCACACCGCTCTTCCATTCATCGTCAGCTACTAATTAGCAGCCGCCGCCAACACCACCATCTCCTCCTCCATGGAAAGTTCCAACAGTAGTAATTTTGCAGCAGAACCAGAAACCATGGCCACAATGTCAAGAAAAGAACTGATGAATCCCGAAATGGGTCAAGAATCTAACAAAGTCACCATTCGCGTCGTGCGGCACCCGGAGAGCCACAGAAGAAGCATAAAAACCAGAACCCATGTGAAAACCATCTGCGGCGGAGGCGACGGAAGTAGTGGTGGCGGAGAAGACTCCGATGAGAAAGCTGAGGTTGATGAAAAGATAGTGGCATTGCAGAAAATAGTACCGGGAGGCGAGTCTCTTTGTGCAGACAAACTGTTTGAAGAAACTGCTGAATACATATTGACATTGCAATGCCAAATTAAAGTCTTGAGTTTTCTTGCTTCTTTTGTTGAAGGTCCTGAGATAGAGAAGAGAAAGCTTGGTGGTTAGCAATGGTAAACGTCCATGTCAAATACGACTTTCAAATAAAGTTTCGAATTAGTGGATCTTGTCAAACAAAGTGACCATGCCATAGGAAAAGAGGAGGACACTCATCAAATGGTTCTTGATGTTTTCAAGTTCCTATTTTTCTATTTTTTGTTTTTGTATTTTTAATAAGGACCATTTTTCTTTTTATTTTCTTCATTTTTTTCCTTTGTTGATGGGGGCATTAGGGTCAAGATTTAGCCTTTTTTTTTTTATAATTATTATTTTTTTTTGGGTTCAATTATGTGTTTAATTTCAATATTTCCAACAAGAAAAAAGAATGCGATTAGTTGCTTAGTCCATGATAAGGGAGTAATGGTTATACTTTGAAGAAAATGAAATTATTCTTTGATGCATCTAGCTATTTTGTGTTATCGAAGATTAAAATTTCAATAACTTATTTTGTTCATAATTTGGATGAATTTCATAAATTTTTTTTGGGTTTTTATATAATGTAAAAATGCAATAATAAATTCCAAAAATGACACAAAAATCTTGTGATATCTATTGATTAATACCCTCTGAAGTTTTGCTGTTACTTACCACTAGTTCAATGTACGGAATTATTCTACAATATCTTTGTGGTCTTGCTTAAAAAAAAAAAAAAGGAATTTCTATACAAAATAAATTCATTTCAATGACACGTTTGACCCTATATGCCACTTATCAATTTTCATTATCTGGTGTGCATGAGAAATGAGCAATAAAAGTCATAATGCTCTGACGTTCATGCGAAATTGTCAATACTATTTCGAGATAGGAAAAGTAATATTTTGTACTTATTTATGTGCCGTATAATAATTTTTTATATATCGAACAAAATTGAGCCGAAATTACTAGAGCGTAAGAATTAGAAACAGATGAACCAATTCCCCAAGTCATTTCACTTTCTTTTGGGTGGGAAAATCAAAAAGGGTTTGACAAAGGTCACATACTCTACTTCTCAATTAGGGGTTAAGCTCGTCTTGCAAGAAAAAAGTTTACACTTCACTATTCAAACACTTGAATAACGTCAATTATTGGGTAATTGTGTCTTCACACTTTGAGAGAAAAGATGATGAATAAATTACGTGTTTTTTAATTTGTTGCTAAATAGACGAATTTTATAGTCACCTAAAACTTTTATGCCCTTTTCAATACTTTTTGGTATCAACAAATGTGAACGACTATTATTTGATGTGGGGATATATTAGGAAAAACATAAGTAAAATTTATAGTTAAGCTATATTAATTGAGTTTTCTTAATTTATTTGAAAAAGAAAGAAAGGAAGGTTATCTTTGTTAGATGGAGGGAATCTATGATATATATCTAACAGTTATAGCATTGATTGAGTGATAGAGTGAAGACTTGCACATACATGACAAGCCGATACTTCCAAATGATGGATGTTAGAACTAGGGTGTGATCCGAATTTTATATTAAAGATGATTGAAAATTCTAATTAAGGTCTGCATTAATAGGAATTTAATTTGTTGCTCCTATCAAGAATTTATTTAGATTGTTTAATTTCATTACAAGTTATACAAATTAAAACATTAGTAAATACCCATTTCTCTGCTATTTATTTTATTCTTAAGCTTGTGATCAATTACTTCATATAGTGTCATATTATTTATCGCTCATCATCACAACAAATTGGTATCAAAATTATATGATATTTTCTTCATTATTCATAACAAATTGGTATCAGAACTAAAGTTTTATTCATAGGGAGATTTTTACTTTGGGATGACAACCATGAGTTTGATATTCCGCTATTGGATTGCAGTATAAGATTTTCGCTATGGCAAGATGCGAGCAGTGCTCGTTTATATGGGATTGATTTTGCCTGCTTCATAGTTGTTGTTAGAGACACGATTTTTTATAGTCATGATACTCTCATCATTGAAAAAATATATGATACTCTATTTTCAAATGAGAAGATGAAGCATATTATTGAGATTCATGGAGATGGCTTTCTTCTTGATGATGGTTGTGCAATAGGCAAATTAAGGTCTAACTTCACAAATAAAATTCTTAATTATTACAAGAAGAAGGGACATTTGGTTAAGAATTGTTGCAAAATATAGAAAAATTGGCTATAGCTAAATAGAAGGGAAAACAATCAGATACTTAAGGTAAAAACCAGTGTTGGAGAAACATTTCACAATGATGGAGATCTTTTGGTGATTTCTAATGACAATTCAAAACTAGATGAGGATTGGATTCTTGATACAACTTGCATCATATGTGTTCTAATTAGGATTCATTTACAACATATGAAGAAGTTTTCGAAAGTATTAATGTGATTGGTAATAATAAACCTTGTTAGATAGCTGGTATATGAAGGGTCAAAATTAAGTTGATTGATGGAAATATCAGAATAATTGATTCAGTGCGACATATTCTTGATTTGAATAAAAACATTATCTCTTTAAGCGCTCTTGACTTGAAAGGGTTCAATTCATTGGTGAAGGTAGAATCTTGAAGGTTTTTAGAGATACTCATATTGTGCTGTAGGGAAGAAAAAAGTTCCGATTATATATCTTACAAGGTTCTATAGAATCTTTGATTGATCATCATAGTTTAAGGACTTAGATGGATTGTGAGTTTTGTTCAGTACCATTGGAGATTTCCCCCCTATATTAGTTTGATGAATACGTTTAAGCCAAGATTGAAAGTTATGGATAATTTTGTTGTGCGACTATTACCATCAATGCCATTGTCTTCAAATTCCAGAAACAGTCCCTTTTTAAAAAATATGCCTCCACATGGGTATAAAGATGTTGATTTATGTTTGCGAAATTATTTGTTCCGATTTAAAACCCACTGCAAGTGTACGGTTCGTTAACAAGTAGTAAAATGGACTATGAGTCCAAGTATCGATCCCACAAGAATTGAATTAGTTCAAATTAACCTATTATGACCTTAACTGAAACACGAAAATCAAATTGACGTTTTATACTTTAACTAAAAAGATGCAAACTTTAATGCAAGTATGAATGAAAAATTATACTAAATGCAAAATAGCTTGGATGCAATTTAACTCGAGTTTATGGAATTAATGAATATATTAACGCACTAGGATCATGAATCCCCAAGCAATACCCGTTCAGTTTTCAATTATGCAAATTTGACACACAGTTCCACAAAAGATGAATCAATATTCTTATTTTAATTTAGCAATCTCTCTCAAGCAATGCCAAACATATCCCAATATATGATTCGACTATATTTCTATGACGAATACTAACATACCGAAATGCATTATAAATTCATGAATATCTAATGATTCACACAAGGCATAGAAGTATATTTCTATCCCCTATTGGACCTTACTTACTTCGATACGTAATCCACAGCCACTAAGATATACTGATTAGAGAAGGATGGGGGAAATGGCCCCATGAAGTACGATCCCCCAGACGTCGAATACTTTCACTTCCAGGATACTGTTGTCCGATATTTTCTTCGTTGTTTATAAAAATGGAGTTCTCATGGAAGGCAATTGTTGTGTCGAATCAAAGATGAAATCCCTTTACTATGTGTGCATGTCTACCCTGCTAAATAAATAATGATTCTTCAACTGAAGTAAGAAGTTGGACATGATCAAGCATCTTAGCTTGTTGATCTCCCCAAGTGATGTCTATGTGTTAGTAGAAATATTTGGCCAATGTAGTCATAAGATAGGCTACGACTACGGAAACTAGAAACATATTCGCTATCATTTGAAAAGACGATGACATTTTCTTTAGGTATGATGTTTTTCAATTGCTACAAAAATAGGAACTATAGTGAGAATGCAAGAGGGACCTTATTTCATGGCATTTACACGAGGTTCCTCTTTAAGAAAATCCTCGAGAGGGCTTTGATTAAGTATCGAGGAGTCAATGCCTTCAGGCCAAAAGTACCAAATGAACATAAATCGGTTTAGCATGTACCATGTATCTATGGGTATGTGTATGCCCAATTCAATCTATGTTGTCAAGCAAATTGTTTACAGTTGATATTCAATAATAAAAACCAACTTTTTTTTTGTAAGATCATTAGAACGGACACGTATTCATTTATATATATTTTTTGTTCAATACGTCTTCTTACATGTGGACTGAATTTATTCGAGACATGCACATTTTATACATGGATGAAGATATATATAATGTGAACCAGGCAATATTATATTGGCAAATTTATTTACCTTGGTTCGAATGTGGGAATACCAAAATATTTGTACGTGGCACTTCCCCTTTAAAGCCTCCCCTAGTACAATTTGACAAGCTCTAAAGTAAAGAGTTCTAAAATAGTTACATTTTTTAGATATGGGAAAACTTATTCACCTTTCTCAGTGTCTTAGTCGGAAAGGAACTTACTTTTTCTAACTCAGAATGAATTCTAAGTGTGAGATGCACTAATCGAAAAGAGCCTCTCTCTTGACCCGATTGTTGCCTGTCAGCTAATAGGGCAAGCAGCGTAATGGAGTCTCTTTGATGGATGATAAAGACGTTTTAGATTAAAAGTGGTGGTCTTGTAGATAGGTAGTTGAAAATCTGAAACTTGGAAGCTAATCTCAATGAATAGAGAGAGCTTCAACACTAACACATATAACCTAGTAAATGTCATGATAGATTGACCGAAGTGGAAAAATGAAATTTATAGTCTTGATTTGGATTTTAAATTTATCATGAATGTTGGGAGCTAATGTTGCATGTGATCACAAAGTGAAAATAGATCTCTATGTGTTTTGTACCCACAATAACCTAGTAAATAACTGTTATAAAAGGCAGTTGGACTCCAAGTTCAAACAGCAGAGACAAAATCAGGCGTGCTAGTGAGAGCTCTGTATTCTGCTTCGTTAGATTAAAGGCAACACGACTCTATTCACATGATCTCCAAACAAACGGATCATGACCAAGAAAAACCATATAGGCACTTGTTATGGTATGATCCTCTGTGTTGCCGGCCCAATCTCATGAAAATATTGTTCAAAAATCAATATTAAACGAGTGTGGAATGGAAAAGGAACAAAAGTAGAATACAAGTGAAAATCGGAGGCCAAAACTTAAACCATGCGACCGCATGGTGGTATACAGGGCCTAAAGGCTATGCTTTGAAAGAACCTATGCGGTCGCATAGGTTTACTCTATGTGACCGCATAGAGGGAAAATTAGCCGTTAGGT